CAACCAAGAGGAGCGAAGGGAGCTGCACCCGCCGGCCCGGGGCATCCCCTGCAGGGTTTGGGTGGGCAGCTGGAGGGGCCACCCAGGGAAGCCACTCCTACCTGCTGCCCGCGCTGCCTAGGGACTAAAACCCGCCTAGAAGCTGCGCTTCGCTCTAAAATTCATTCAGATCAGAGTGCCCGCCCGCACGGCGCTGCGTACTTCCTCAGGGCGCTGCGGCCCAGGCGCTGCTCCTCCCACTGGCGGCGCTGCGTCTGCTTGCGGATCTCCCGCTCCCAGAAGCGCCTGAGGTCGTGGCAGGTGTTTCCGCAGAAGACCTCGCGGCGCGTGTACTGGCGGTTCATGCCCTGCGGAGGCGAAGGGGCCCCGCCTGAGTCCCACCCCTCTGGCGGACATGGACGTCCTCCCTTGCCTCTTTTGACAGTTGCCATGCTGCCCAGGCTGGCCGCAGACTCGCAGCGATCCTCCTGCCTCAGCCTCCCGCGGGTGCTCGGATGACAGGTGTGCGCCGCCATACCTGGCCCCGTTCTTGTCACTCCTTGAAGCAGTTCTGAAAGTCGTTTTTAGTGTCTATGAGGTGTAACCGAAATCAAGATGAATGCAGCCGCCCATCACTGTCCAACAGAAAGGTAAGTTCCGGAAAATAGGACACTGGGCCCTCACCCATCTTACTCACCGGATCACCCTGTGATGCTTGGCTCCTCCCAAAGTCAAAATGACCATGAAAGGGAATGTTTTTCATGGATTCAGGACACGGAAGCAGCCAGGACAGCGCAGCTAAAGACCCTCAGGAAGGAGGACTCCAGAGCGGCTGCAGGGAGTGGCCAGGCCAACGGGACGAGCGTGTTTTAGCCACTTGTTCTCACCAGGGGCAGAACCGCAGCAGGTCTTAGCACCAAGTTTGCAGCCTCGAGGAAACAAAATTAATGACAGCTGTAGGAATACGCATTTAGGAAAACAAAGATAAGGTGGTGGAGGCCGGGGATTCATCTCTGTGGTGCCACTGCCTGCCTCACAAGCACAAGGTCCCAAGTTGGATCCCCGGTACCCCCCCAAAACAAAGATAAGGCGGTGGCACATGTCTGTCGTGCCAGCCTTCCAGGAGGCTGAGGCAGGAAGGTCACAAATTCAAGGGCAGCCCGGACCGCTTAGTGACTTAAGACCTTGTCTCAATAAGGAAGAGCTGGTCATTTAGCTCAGTGGCACTGCGCCTACTTCAAAAGCGCAAGGTCCTAAGTTTGATTCCTGGTACCAAGGAAAAAAAGAAAAAGAAGAGGAGAGGAGGAAGAGTTGGAGCAGCAGCAGGAGGAGAGGAAGGGGGAGGATACCTGGAGAAGGTTTTTCCTCTCTGTGGTGATTATTTTTGAGACAGGGTTTTGCTATGTAGTTCAGGCTGGCCTTGAACTCATGGCGATCCTCCTGCCTCAGCCTCCCGAGTTCTGAGATCACAAGTGTGCACCACCACACTTGGCTGGTTTCTCTGCTCCAGAATAGAAGTTCACCAGGCCTCGAGCCAGCCTCTTGGACATGAGGCAGCATCTCATTGCCAGGGTTCAGCCCTCTGTGACAGACGGCCCCATGTCTGTATGTGCTTCTGTCTCCCACATGAAGCAGAGTGGAGGGAGATGGTGGACCCTGGGGGCTTCCTCCTTGACATGTGCCCTGCTCTGACCCTCTGTTTCTTCAGCCCAGAACACTTCCAGCAGAGGGCGCCTCTGTCCCCAACACCAGCCATCCCAGTACTGGAGAGGCTGAGGCAGGAGGATCTCAAATTGGAGGTCAGCTTGGAGTATAGGAGGATGAGACCCTGTCACAAACACAGAAAGACTGGGCCTCTCCAAAGAGAGTGAGGGCCACTGCTTGCAGTAAGACATGTCCTCAGGGATGGCTAGGGCACCCCCCACCCCATGTTAATGAATGCTGGCCCCCTCCCATCACAGGGTAACAGGCCAAAGAAAAGAAGGAATGCTGGTCCCTTGCCAGCCCTCCTGCTGTGCCAACAGTTAATTCCCTGTCTCAGGTCATGCTAGTATCAGGCCCAAATCAAGGGACCTGATCTATTTTTAAATTCGGGCGTCTAGGAGCAAGTTTTAAGACTCTGGCCAGTGCGGCTGGCCCCAGAGAGGCCATTTATGCCTGCTGCCAAATGAAACCCACACCTCCTAAAAGCAACTATTTTGTGATTGTTTTTCTCATTTCTATAAGTATGCTTAATCACTTTTTGCATTTTTCTTCTTTTTTTGCAGTACTGGGGATTGAACCCAGGGCCTTTGCACTGAGCTACACCCTCAGCCCTTTAAAAGTGTGTTGTTATTATTTTGAGACAGGGTTTTGCTAAGTCACCAAGTTTCCCAAGCTGGGCTTGAACTTGGGATCCTCCTGCCTCGGCCTCCCAGAGTGCACCACCACGCCCGGTTTACTTTTTTCTTTATGATGCTGGCTTCGGCTGAACAGGTTTCAGCTCCCCAGACAATGGAGGAAGCCGCTCCATGCTCCCGACCCACAGCTATGCCTGGATAGCAGTGCTGGGTCGCTGGAGGGAGGGAGACAGTGTTTGATGGCCCTCAACCCCGCGCGCAGAAGCCTCAACGGCCGCCAGGGGGCGCCGTGGTGCCGGTCGCGGAAGCGAATTTGCCCTGCGCTCCCGCTGCAGCCCCGAGTAGCTAGATGGGGTGGGGGTGGCAGGATTTCTGGTCAAAGAGCTTAAAAGGGTGAGTCCAGAGACCTGGAGAAGAAAAACCGAGGCACAGGAACATATGTTTGAAGAAATAACAGCTCAAACGTTCCGCTTAAAAGTAATTCCAGCACTTGGGAGGCTGAGACAGGAGAATCCTTCAGGTTCTAGGACAGCCTGGGCTACGTGGTGAGTTCACAACCAGCCTGAACTACGTGGCCAGACCCTGTCTCAATAACTAATGAACACAACGCGGTTTGCAGTCCCCACCCCCCGCCCCGAAACGCCTAGGTCTAAATCTAACAGAGCCTGTGCCAGATGTGCTTGCTCACAACTCTGAAACGCTGCTAAGTGAAACACAGGAAAACCCCACTAGATGGAAAGACGGACCGTGTTAGTGAATTGGGAGACCACAGAGCAAAGGCATCAGCTCTCCCCAAGAGAATCTCTAGGCTTATTAATTGTAATTCTAACCAAAATCCAAGCTGGGTTTTTTTATAAACATAAAAAAGTATGTGTAAATTTTCTGAATTTCTGACTATAAAATTTCTATGTAAAAAGCAAAGACTCAGGTAAGTAACTAAGACTATTGAAAAAAAGAATAAAGGAGGGATGGTGGGGCGGGACTTAGCTTAGAGGTTCCACCCCCTGCCTCGCAAGCACAAGTTCCTGAGTTCTCTCCCCGAACCAAACAGAAAGAAAGAAAAAGAAAGAAAAAAAAAAAAGGATACTAGTGGAATCTCACTGCCCAGAGAAAGGGCAGGTTGTCAGTATGTGCAGTCCTGAGTTCTCTCCCCGAACCAAACAGAAAGAAAGAAAAAGAAAGAAAAAAAAAAAGGATACTAGTGGAATCTCACTGCCCAGAGAAAGGGCAGGTTGTCAGTATGTGCAACAATATGATGTTAATGAAAACAGCAGCACCAAAAATCCTCCGCCAGAACCCTATTTTACAAGAAAATTAGCCCTCAGAGCACCAGAGCTCTAAATACAAAATATTTAGGAGACATCAGGGGAGAAGCATTTCCTGACTTGAAGTCCGGCAGAGTTCTCAGATGTAACAGCAAAACTCTGATCCATTAAACAAATTGTGCTGTGTTAAAATTAAAAATTTCTACTGGATCAATGCCGCACATCTAAAATCCCATTCCTCAGGGAGGCTGAGGCAGGAAGATCAAAATTCAAGCCCAGCTTGGGCAACTTAAACTTAGCAAGACCTGAGAGCCTGTCTCGAAATGAAAACCCACAAGGGCCGGGCACTGCCAAGTGACCAGGACAGAAAGGGTCTCAAGGGGCATGACTGCCGGGGCGGAGCCTGGTTCCGGGCCCCACGTTACCTTAGGGTTGAGCCTGCCTCATCTCCTCCTGCTCTGCCGGGCTCCTGAGACCACGCCCGGCCCCCAGCCTCTGGTCCCCACTTTTATACCCGAGGCGGGCAGAAGCAAACGCCCGCCCGAAGGTCAAGGACACCAGGCGAGAGGCAGAGTCACGGCGCTCTCCTTCCAGGACACGGTGCTGGGGGCCTGGTGGAAAACAGCCCCCCACGCCGCTGCCCTGGCTGGGCTGGTGAGCCGCCCTGGCAGGGCCCGGCACAGGCTCCGGATTATCTGTGCAGGGGGTCTCCGTGCAGCCGGTCACGCTCGGGGTCACCTTACAGAATGGCGGGGCGAGGCGTGCTGCCCCTCAGAGCCTTTAATCCCACGCAGAGCTCCTGGTGACAGTCACATCTGCTGAGTCCTCCGGCACCCGGCAGGGTCTGCATCCCGGACTCATGACAGCTTCCAGGCCAAAGCAACTCCAGTTGCCTTAAGAGTAAGAGCTAGAGCAGGGCGTGGTGGTGCACGCCTGTAATTCCAGCACTGGGGAGGCTGAGGCAGGGAGATCCCCAAAAGTATGAGGCCAGACTGGGCTACATAGTGAGTCCAGGGCCAGCCTGAACTGCATAATGAGACCCTTCTCAAAAAATGAAAAAGAGAAGCTCACTTTGGATTGTGAGTGCAGCTTAGCGGTAGGGAAAGCTTATCATGTGTAAAACCTTGGGTTTGATCCTTAGCATACATAACACACACACACACACACACACACACACACACGCACGCACAATGAACGCACGCACAATGTGCTCTGTTTTTAGTATTTTTCTGCTGGTAAATGTTACATACAAGTAGAGAAGATAGGATTAAAAATGGTTGTAAAGGGCTGGGGATTTAGCTCAGTGCTTCTGCTGCCTGCCTGCAAGCGCAAGGACCCAAGTTCAATCCCTGGTACAAAAAAAAAAAAGGTAGTAAAATATTTTTGCTGTGAGGGTTTGAGGGTCTTGTTGTTACTTATTTGTTTGCTTTGTTTTTTGAGACAATATTGCCAGACTGGTGTCAAACTCCTGAACTCAAGGGATCCTCCTGCCTCAGCCTTCTGACTTAATTCGGACTCTTGGTGCATGCTGCAGCCATGATTTTAAATACATATTTCTCCTCTTTTAAAAACCCACAGTGAAACCTAGTATGAGGGGAAGAGTGTTTTGAGGGACTGGAGGTGGTGTCCGTAAGACACCTTTGACCTGGGACTCTGGGAAGCCTTTTGAGTTACACTGGTTCCTGACACCTCTTTGAAGTTATTAACAAATCCTCCAAGGAAAAGCTTATAAAATCAAGCCTACACCGGGGGTGGAGGCAGGAGGATCACGGTGAATTCAAGGGCAGCCTGTACTACTTAGAGACCCTGTCTCGACAGACAGACAGACAGACAGACAGACAAACCGGGCATGGCAGATTGCAAGCTGCAGCTCAGCCCGGACAGCTTTGCTGTCTCAAATCAAACGCAAGGCCGGATGGAGCTCAGTGGTTGTTGGGTGCTTGCCTAGCATGTGTGAGGCCCTGGGTTCTGTCCCCCAGAACCAAAAAGAGAAAAACAGAACCGCCCTGGGTGGCGGCTCAGTGCTTAGCGCTGGGTGCTCTTTGTGGTTGGCACCGCAGCGTGGTCCCCAGAGCCCGCAGCACACACGGAACTGACGCTCCCTGCGGTTCTCCGGACCCAGTTTCCGCTCTTTCCTCCCGGTCCTTCTGCCCTTTCTCCAGGGGCTTCTCCCCTCCCTTCCGCCTTTAAGCGCAGGAACCGATTTCTGCTAACGCGAGGAAGAGGAGGGTGAACCCAGTGCTCACACACCTTACACTGCGGCCCTGTGTGCCGCGTCAACTGAACTTGAGCTGGCCCTGGGCTACGGCAGGACGTGTTCCTGTCCTTGCTGTGCTTGTATCCGGTGGAAACGGGCCACAGCCTGGGCTCACCAAGCAGGAGGCGGAAAACATCGCGTACACACGGTGGGCAGTCACCGCAGAGCCGTGGCGGGGACCTGGAGGGCCGGGTGTGTCCTCCACCGTCTCTGGGGCCTTCGCCGGGAGCAGGGAGCAGGGACCGTTCTGCAGAACCAGGCCACACCTTCGGTCCCCAGCCCAGCGCCCCTCAGGGCTCCCAGGCTCCTGCTGATCCCGGGCCAGTCTGAGGGGCTCTGTTCAGTGGACGGCGACGGTGCAGAAGAGGAAGGGAAAGTACCACGAATTTAACCCCAGGCTAAGAAAGCTCTGGGAAGCCGCCAACCGCGATGCCCCACGGGGCAGAAGGTCCAGGAGTGAAGGGAGGGAGGCTGCCACGGGGACAGACGCCTCCTTCCCGGATCCGGTGCCCAGGGGTCCCCGAGGACCTGACAAGGGTCGGTGGACGACTCTGTAGGAAATGAGAAGCCCACTCTCTCCCAGGTGATTTACCCTCAGGGACCACGTTTAAACCAGCATGGCAGCTGGGCACGGTGCGCACTCTTGTCATCCCAGCTACTGGGAAGGCCGAGGCAGGAGGATCGCAGGTTTGACGCCAGCCTGAGCAATTTTGAGAGGCCCTACCTTAAAATAAAAGGGCTGGGGCTGAAGCCCAGGGGCAGAGCATTTGTCTCACATGTGGGAGGCCCTAGGTTCCATCTTCAGAGCCGAGAGTGACAGTGCGGCAGAGAACAGCTGTGACGTGGGCAAGGCTGGCCGTCCTCCTGGCTTGACGCCTCCCACGCCCTTTATGAATCCGATACGCGTCATTACTGAGGATGAGTGGCCGGGCTGGGCCGTGGTGGAGGGCAGCCCGGTCACCGAGTCTTCCCTGTCATCCTCTAGGGACAGAGGACACCGGGACAGGATCCCTGGCAGGACCCGGAGAGGATCATGGGGCCAGGACTTCGTGGGTCTTGCCAGGCTCCCGGGGAGGCTGCAGAGTTGGGACGAGGCTGCCCAGGCACAGCCTGTGGGGCGGCAGGAGGAAAGGGACAGCAGGACCAGAGTCCTCTCTTCAGCCGCCGGGGCAGCCGGTGGGCCAAGGCCGGGGTCTGTGGCCAGTGCAGCACCAGCAGTGGCACCCTCGTCCCAGGTCCCTCTGCCCACCTCTGCCCTCCTGCCTTTCAGATCCCGGCTGGCGATGCACCTGCAGGGAATCCCAGCTGCTTCTCCACTTTGCGGGCCGGCTGGGCGCCCTAAGGTGGGTACCGCGGCCCCTAAGGCGTGTTCTGTGGCAGCTTTTCCCACCTGGGCGCTGAGAGCCGGAGGTCAGGGATCCACTCCCAGTGCCGAAGGGAGAAAGGGGTATTCACCAGGCTCCGGGTGTGGTGGTGCTTGCCTGTAATCCTAGCCCTCTGAGGAGGCTGAGGCAGAACGGCTGTGAATTCAGGGCAGCCTGAACTACATGGTGAGGCTCCGTCACAAAAAGTAAAATAAAATGTGTGCTCAGCACCTTCTGGAAGGTTCCTCCTCCCTCCCCTGGTACTTGAGTGCTGGGTAGGGCTGGTCCTGTACTTTCCTTAGCCCAGAGCTCACAGATGGCCCCGAGCTGTCCTTGCCCCCGGGCCAGCACTCTGCCCATCCAGGGAGCCACCTAAATGGGCAGACTTCTATTTCGGTACCAGATTGAACTTGGGTTCTTGTGCTTGCAAGGCAGGTAGTGGAACCACTGAGCTAAACCCAAGACTTTTTAATTTTAATTAGGGAGTACCTGCAATGCCAGGCCCTGGGAGGCTGAGGCAGGAGGACCACAAGTTGGAGGCCAGCCTGGGCTACATAGGGAGATCCTTCTCAACACAATTTTAAAAAAAGGAACAAAACAGAATGCACATACATAGTTCACAACACCAAATGATTGTGTCTCTTTGTAAAATCTGTGAAGTGAGGTCTTCAAGTGGGTGTGGCGGACACTCCTGTTATCCCAGCTACTCCAGGAGGCTGAGAATTCAAGGACTGCCTGGTGACAGGAATACCCACCTCAGAAATAAAATAAGAGGCTGAGAATGTAGCTCACAGGTAACAAAATTAAAAGTGAGGCCTTCTGTGAATATAAGCCAAATAAACCCCTTCCCCTTTTAAAAAAAAAGTGACTTTCACGAAATGTAGTTCCAGGCCCCAAGTTTTAGGTGACAGCGGACACAGCAGATGGGAGGTTCTTCCGGGGGCAAAGACTAGGGGGTCAGAGGGACCCCAAAGGGAGAATACTGAGGAGTGGCAGCACCCCCATGCTGAGGAAGTGACTGTATCCAAGTCCTGGGTGCCCGCATGACACCTATGGTTTCATTAAGAGAAAAAAAGGGTGATTATTTTTATTTCTGTGGTACTGAGAATTGAACTCAGGGCCTTCATCTTGAGCTGCATCCTTTTTTTTTTGTACTGGGATTGAACTCTGGTCCTTGTGCTTGCAAGGCAGGCCACCGAACCACTGAGCTAAATCCCCGGCCCCTGTATTTTTTATTTTTGAGACAGGATCTCACTAGATAACTTGGTAACCTTGAACTCACTGTCGTTCAGGCTAGCCTTGAAGTCAGGGTCCTCCTGCCTCAGCCTCCTGAATGCTGGGATGACAGGTGTGCGCTACCACACAGTTGTGCAGTGTTTTGTTTTGTTTTTTTCCTTTTTCCTGCAAAGTTTTTAAACATCGTGTGGTGCATAGGCAGGTAGAAAATGTGTGTTGAGAACCTAGTCTGTCTTCTTTCACTTACTTCTAACCCCACGGTGAAGGTGGCGTCTAGGGGTCTCAGAATGAGGCAGGGCCCCACCCCTGCTCCGTGCTTTTCTCCCCAGATCACCCCTTCCTAATATTCACCCGATTTCCACTGGGCCCTGCACAATCCCAACCACCTGGAATTCTGCGCGGGCAGAGAATTAGTGCAGAACAATTTGTGGGCCCAGCAGGGGCTAAAGGTGGGAGCAGAACCACAGCCACAGGCAAACCCCAGGCCCTGGCATCCCCGGTAGCCTCCAGGCAAAGCAGCACCTCTCCTAGGAGAAGGGAGCACATCCTAGGGGGGCACTGAGAAAACACAGAAACGCAGAGGGAAAGGCCCAGCCTAGTGGTGCACGCCTGCTAATCCCAGCACTCGGGAGGCTTGGGCAGGAGGATTGACCACTGGGAGTTCAAGGCCAGCCTGAACTAGAAAGCCACACCCTGTCTTAAAGAAAAGAAAAAAAATTCAGAGGGGAAAAACCCACTGTGGCAAGACAATATTCGTCTCACCAGCCAGAAACTACTCGGTTCATTTTGGTCCGTAGATTTCCCATGGTTCTGGCGCCCGCTCACAAACAGCTGGTTTATATAACTTCCCATCACTCCGCTCACAGCTAAATATACTGTGGACATTGTCTCTCTCTTTTTTTTACAACAGTTAACTGCACAGCATGGAGAGAACATTAATTTGTAAAGCAAACTTGTTGGGGAAATTTAGATGCAACTTTTTCCCAAACAGACTTCATTCTCTTCATGATTTGAGAAGGGCGTGGTGACACATACCTGTGATTCCAGCACTCAGGAAGCTGAGGCAGGAGGATCACCAGGAGTTTGAGCCCAGCCTGGACCACATAGACTGTCTCAGAAACAACAAAACAAAATTATTTTAATTGACTTTGATCTACTTAAATGTTTCTCCTCAGTTCCTCCTGAGGACTGGCCTTCAGTGACCTGTAGATGTAACCGTTTGAAAGTATTGGGTTATGCGTATCAAGAAGCAGACGGCACCAGGTAGGTCACTGACTTTTTGTTTACAAAGTACAGGAAGTAGCCAGTGCTGTACAAGTGGGGCGCTCAGTATGGGAACTGTGTTATTTCAAAGCAGCCCAGAGGATCATCCAACATCTTTTTGTCCTGAAGTTGGCGCCATGGCCTTGAATTCGCCGGGCGTCTAGAATCTGGTCTGCAGGAAAAGGCAGATGCCAGGCAGCAGGACAGCGGGTCCCGCAGGCGGCATCGATTCCGGGGTCCCAGAAGCCGCCAGGCGCTGGTCGCTCATGTGGCCGTCTGTGGGGTCAGAGGGGTCACTGGAGAGGGACTGGGTGTTGAACAGAAGAATCTGCTCTCCCAGGACACTTGCCTGGTCACCACCCCAGCATGGGACACCAGGTGGGGGAACTCGGTGAGGCTTGGGTGCGCTGGGGACGGCACATCCCAGGCCCCAAGTTCTGGGAGGAAAACTCGGTCTCCGCCTATCCCACTGCCGGCCCTGTGCTCACCCCCTGTGCTCACCGGACACCGGACATCAGTCTTCAGACTCACAGCGGGACCCCAGCGGCAGGGGCACAGTCCCGGTCCCTAGGTGGGGCAGGTCCCCTCTGTGCCTGGAGGGCCTCGACCACCCGCTGTTCCAAGCTCCCCGGGTGGCTCAGCTCCAGCAGGTCAGCGGGTGGGGGAACCTGCCTGACGGAAGAACTGGGAAGACCTGCTTACCACAGCCGGGCAGGAAGGTCTGGGGCAAGCAGCGGACCTGGCCAAGCCAGCACCTGCACAGGGAACACTTGCGGGGCAGCAGCCAGGCGCCATGGGGCACAGAGCCACACTTCCTGAGAAGGAACGGGTGAGAATGCCTAGTTGTTTTCTTTTTTTTTCCTGAGACTGGGTCTGGCTGTGCGGTTCAGGCTGGCCTCGAACTCACCGTGTAGCTCAGCCGGGCCTCGAACTTGCAGCCATCCTCCTGCCTCAGCCTCCCATGCCCACCCAGACCACTTTGAAGTTACCCCTTCCCTCCCTTTCCACGCCTCCGACCCTCCATGACTTACTGTGCGTGTGTGCTGCGCTCACAGTTGCGTCCATAGAAGGAGGGGGGGCAGGCACAGAAGGACCCCAAGATGCAGGTGCCCCCGTTCAGACAGCAGGTTTTGTTTAGCTCCTTGCCTGCATGGAAGAGGAGGGAAGGGATAAACAGCCGGGACCAGAGCTTTCATCAAAAGTGGGGCAGCGCCCTGGCCCGTCTCCCAGTCCTGCTGGCCGATGTCGGAGCCCCTAGAATAGAATCTGCTATCCAGACCTTAGAGCGGGGGCATCATTTTCACACGGTTGCCCTCGGGTCAAAGTGTCACAGAGACACCCAGGAGCCATGCAAGGGGCCGGAGGTGATAGGAGGCTCTTACTGTCCTGGATCCCCACCGGCGGCACGAACTTGGGCCGAGGACGACTGGGAAGCTCCCCCTGGGGCCCGGTGCGGTCATTCCTGAGCACCAGGGCTCCCGCGGACGGGCGTGCAGCTTCTTGGCAGCTGGACCCTGAAGGGCAAAGTCAAGTCCTGGAGTCTGCGTTTGAGGCCACGGGAAAATGGTTTAAGTGATCAAAAGAACAAAAAGCCTCTCACCGGCTACTAGTTCCAGGTGAAAAGAGTTGGAGATGGCCATGATCAAAATCACAATCACACTAGGAAGAGGAAATCGAGACGTCTGTTAGCAAAACAAAGCAAACAAGGCAGCGGGTCTTCCCTCCACAAGGACAAGGCCTGGGGAGAAACTGCTTTCTCCGTCTCCTGCCCTTCCTTAGTGGCTACTAAGCTAACAGTATTTAGGACAAGTCACCTAACTCAACTCTTCCATAGATACGTGTGTGTATATACCATTATGCATATAACTTCAAGTAGGTGCAAAACCCTCTTCTACTTCATACAACCTATATTTTTCTATAAGAATTTTAAAATGCGCCAGGCATGGTGGTGCATGCCTGTGATTCCAGCACTCGGGAGGCTGAGGCAGGAGGATCACTGTGAGTTCGAGGCCAGCCTGAACTCCAAAGGAAGACCTTGTCTCAGAAAAAGAATTTTAAAATAGCTGCTTGACATTTTGTGCTTTGATGAGTCACAATTTACAAGTGACTTCATTTAGAAGGTTTTCAGGCTTAAAATTTTTTTTGTTTGTTTTTTTTGCTATTATTCTTAACAGTTTTTGTAAATATCCAAAGCGCCCATACCTTTAACCTTTCCGGGGGTGATTTTTAACTCAGTTCAAACGGACCTGCTTCTACATGAACAGGAAAGATGATTTCCTAGGCAGAGACGCTAACACGACTGAAAAGAGAAGCTAGCTAGGCGGATGGTATGAGTCTCTGGAAAGGTCCAGGCTTTTCAGAAGCAGAAATGCCAGAGAGGAGCTTTTAAAGTTCCAGCGAGAGGAAAAGTCAGATGGAGAGATGTAATTTCCCAAGTTGGCAGCCAAGACGGATTCCTTCCTACCTAGAGACGTGCTTCATCCTCCAGCTTCCAGACCGTGTAGAAACAAACGCAGGCGAGAAGACAAGAGTTAACAGGCTTCGGTTCACAGGGCCAATGCCAAACCGCCGAGGGAACCTTGAACTCCCAGGCGAAGCCGCGGAGAAAGATTCCGGCCCCAAGGATGTTTTGACTTTGGCAGAGACTTCCGGGAGACCCTCCTGCCTCCCCGACGAGCTGAGGGCAGCGGTAGGACCCCAGGCGGCCGGGGCGGGGCTGGATCCCAGGACACAGCCCGGAGCTTCGGGGGTGGGAGGGGGAGCCGGAGGGGATGGCCGAGGTGGGGGTCTCCCTCCCTGGCTCGTTAGCCCCCCCAGGGCCTTGGTCCATCCCCGACGCCAAGGCCAGGTGTTCTCTTTCTTGGGAAAAAGGCTGATCAGTGGAGTTTGCTGTTTTATTCTCAAGCATTACGTTCGGAGGGCATCAGGACTGGGTGGGGTGCCTGAATGGCCAGGGTCCTGCCTGGAAAAAGCCCTAGGAACCTGGCCTTTGACTTGGGAGGCCGTCTCAGCCTTGCCAGGGTGGACTTCCTTTAGATAAGATCTTGCTAAATTGCCCAGGCTGGGCTCAAACCTGTGATCCTCCTGCTCAGCCTCCCAAAGTGCTGGGATTACAGGTGTGCGCCACCTTGCCTGGCTTTCCCTGGAGTCATGAGTGGTTCCTAAGCTTTGCTTCAGTCTAACGTCTCAAGGGAAGCCCGGCATCACCCGAGGTTGCTGGGCTTGGCGTGGGGTGCTTGCCCTTGGCCCTGGTGTCTGGTCCTTGAGTTTAGGCAGAGGCAGGGCGAACTGGCAGCGCCTGGGGTGCCCTGTGCGTGAGCTTCCTGATCCATTGGGCCTCGGGGTATTAAACTCGAAGTCGCTTTTATGGGCGCACAGGCTCCGCTCCGGCCGGGCAGTCGTGGGCAGTCCTGGCACAGCCTTCCTCCCCGCCCAGGGACAGAGCCACCGCGAACCCCGTGTGTGAGGAGGGATGAAGGGCGTCTGGGCGGATGGGGATCTCAGGGACGGGGCAGGACTAGGTGCCCAGGAGCCCAGGGACTCCGGCCGAGGATTGGAGGGGGCGTCTAGGAGGCGCTGAGGACGGGGGCGGGGGTGCGGGGCCCGGGCGGGG